TCGAGTTTAGTTTTGTTTCGATAAATTAATTATTTATAGTTGGTGATTATATGATTTTTAAATATATAAAGCAACAATTTTTTTCAAAAAATCATAAAATTGTACAATCAATAAATCGTTTCGATCGCTCAATCGCCTTTTCTTTATCTAATCGCTTTTCTTTATCCAATCGCTTTCTTTATCTAACTGCTTTTCTTTATCCAACCGCTTTTCTTTATTCAACCATTTTTTTTTATCCAATCGCTTTTCTTTATCTAAATATGCCAAAATTATCAAAACAAAAATGTCATATGAAGTACATGACATTTCAAAGTAATGAAATCCGACAAATTTATAATCTGATACCTCAAATTAATCTTGAATCTTGTCCAAATATCTGCAAAATTATTACTAATACACTTAATCATTCACGAGAAGAGGAAATCTTTAATAATATTCATGAAATGCCAGAACTACAAAAGAAAAATGCATTAAATCTAATTGAATCAATGCGAAATCCAAAAGAAAAGCATAAAAATGAAATTATTTCGGTCTATCTCCAAAATAAAGCCCTTGAATATATTACGGATAGTCATAAAAATCTAGTTGTTTTAAAAGCTGAGAATGCGAACCTAAAATCAGAAAACCGAAAACTATTAAGGAATAATCAAAATCTATTACATAAAATTTAGTCCGTAAGTAGTTCAAATCGGCATCTCAGAAATAAAGTAGAAAAGCAAATTTCAACTATCAGGTCATTAATATGCAAACGAAAGCAGATACCTAATGAAGAATTCAAATGCCAAATTAGTATATTATTTAAAACAAATAATCGAGAATATTCACCAAAAATGGTTTGGCTTTCAACAAAGATATCACAAATTGGCCAAACTTCTTTAACTGCGACTGTTGAATTATTGCAATTAGTTTACGAATTCTTAATCAGAAAACCCCACAAAGATGGTTATCTGCAATGACCCTAAGTATCTGGCATAAAGAAGTCTCACAAATTGAGACTCAAGCCGGAATATATAAGGCTTCACAATGTTTACGGTATAGAATCCTTGTGGATGAATCAACTCGCAGAGAAAGTAAATATTTTGTTGTATATATAATATTCTGGGATCATAAAAAAAACATTTCATCAGTAATTGTAACCAATCTTGAGGATTTACATAACAGTACTGGTCAATCAGTAGCAGACAGCACTCTCAAAGCAATTACGATCCACAGGCTTGATCTGAAAAAATGTTTAATGTATCAGGCAATAAGAAAGGTGCGATCGTTCAGTTTAATAAGAAGACAAATGTAGATACAGTAGGAATCAGTTGTGGAATATATATAATGCATATTGTTTTTTCAAATTTTGAAGAGGCGTTTGGCAAGTTACCTTCCTCGATTAGATTCTCACGAATACCACAACTATATAATCTCCTATATTTGGCTTGGTACCTTCACGACGGATATAATTCGAGCAATAAAAGAAAACCTCTCAATATGAAGTCAGATTGAATTCAAAAACTATATGATAGATTATTAGGATATCATTTCTCCCAATATCAATTGCCAATTTGGGGTCATTGGGGATATGAATTACTTGCTGCAAAACAATATTTAGCCCGTCATGAAGCACACATAAAATTTGCCAATTGGTTCATTAAGGAACTTGAAAATAATCGAAATACACCACCTGCATATCTTTCCGATTGGTAAATTTTTAATTACTATTCATAAACTTTTGCATGCTTATTTTAAATAGATCTATTAATAAGTTTTTTTATACTCACTAACTAGACATTTATTTCGGGATTGGCTCTTAAACGAAAAACTAAACATTCAAGTTCAGTGTTTAGTTATATTTGGTGAGCACTTATATGAGCCTTTGATGCAATTTATAGTCAGAAGAGATCCTATACTTCATATTCAAGAAGAAAACCATCGGCTCAACTTCTACCTGGCTAACGTGCTCACGAAATGCTGGATAAAGTAAATAAGTGATTAAAGTTTTTAGATGAACTCAGAGAAAATTTTGACATATTCTTTGGACAAGAACTACTAATAGCACTTGAATCGCTAAATAATAAAGACTTTAGTGAGTTCTTTGACAATTTGGAACAGGGGATGAACAAAGCATATGAAAGTTTTTTAAAATGAATATCCCTGTGGATTTATTTACCATTATCAATCTGCAGTTTAGGAGGAAATTCAGGCCATGAATTCGCCTGAGCATTCTATTACATTGTTTTTCAACAGTAGCTTGTAGAACCAACAGAGTGTGAAATAAACTTAGCACATCGATTATGCACCGATTTTGAGATAACTAATAATACTTTCAGCCTTCAGGAAGAATTATAGAGTTTAGAAACGAGTTTCAAAACTTTTGTCTTACCCCAACCTCTAAAATTTATGAATATCAGTTATTATATAAATTCGTTAAAGAACGAATTTACTTCATCGTAATCCACCAACAGCAGGTCGAAGGGCTCTTTAATAAACTAGATTTAAAGACCCACCCAAATATGATGCAAGACCTAAAGCAATCAAAATTACGACTTTCGTTTGGAGATATTGATGAAAAAAATATTGCTTTAGGACTTTCGAAAGTTCGTACAAACCGTAAAAAGCAATCAGCGGGATTAGTTCAAGACGGTGTGAAAACGCATGGGGAAGCAACTAAAATATTTTTAAATTTATATAAAATTTAAAGTCTGTCATAATCGTAATGTAATAAAAAAAATTTTTATAAATACAAATACACAGTAAAAGATTTTTTTATTATTATCAAATATAAAAGTCAAAATTGGTGATCATCTCTAAAAAAAAAAAATCTAATAGTAATTTTTATATGAGACTATACATATATTTGATCTATATAGTACATTGGACACCCCAATATCACATGTATCATGCGCAGTACGTATTTTAGTAGAAATATGAGTCACAGTGAAGTGATCCGTTCCATTAATAAAAATGGATTAAAAATTCACTGTATCGAGTAAATTCATTATATCGAGAGAATTTTATATAAACTGACTTTGAGCTTAACTTCACAATATTGAGATTTTAGTTAGTCTTCACTATCTGCTATGCTATGTCGAGAGTTCACTATAACGAGAGGGACTTATGCATATCAAGATAATTTGAATTTTATATAGCGAGATACATTTTAAAATCACAAATGAAATAAACGTTCAATGAAAATTGAAGTAATAATACATAAGACAATTTTATTTTTTCGAATAACTACGTATTAAACATTCCAAAAATATGAATACAATCTGATATTTGATATTTTTTTTTTTATAATAAGGAAACAAAAACCTAACCTAATATTGTAATTTATTATACTACCCCAACCAATGTCGATATGTAAAACATAATATTTTATACGATTTCTTTTCTTTTTGAAGCAGTATAGCCATTTTATTTCATATCATCACGAGATTAAATAAAAGACGTATCAAAAACCTCATATCAATCTACATTTTGTAACAATCCAATTTTTTCTTCCGATCAAAAATTCCAACATTCAAAGTACAATATAATTGTGACCTTCAAATACTCTACAAATTCTTGAGAAATAATTATGTTTGTGACTACTTTTACATTTTCCAACGCATTCGTTTATTTACAAAATTCGATTCCCGTTTTTGGTTTGTTACTCGCGCGTATAACAGATAAGTAAAAATTCGTATATGTGTTATGTGTCAAGTCAAATCGATATTTGCGTCAGATTAAAATAATAATAATCCCTAACCTTAATAAACTCAGTATTCAAGTTTTAACTTGACCTGTGGATCTTTATAATTATCTGAATATGAATAACAAGTGGTCACAATATAACAAAACATTGAAGAAATAACTTGAACTAACTACCTGTTTGGCTTCTAGATAAAAGTTTTTGTCTCAAAATTTATTCTTATGCCTATAACGACTCCTTTCCGAACATTCTTTGAATAATATCAATAAAAACTGAATAAATCCAGACAGACTTTTTATAGGATTTAGTTACATAAGTGTCTTTAAATATCAATCAAAGTAACTAAAAGCCTATACTGGTACAGAAAACCGACTTGCAATGAATTTACTGTATCTGGATACTTGTTTAATTTTTCTAAAATAATAATTAACAAAGATGACAAAACACTATCACTATTACTATACACAAACGGTATATTTTATTTTTGTGTTGTTTAAATTTAACTGCACAATTATGTGTGATACATCATTATTATAGTAAATCCTTGACTATAAGTTAATTTAGTTAAACTGTCTTTAAAACATAATTAATTATCAGGGTTTGTTACGATTTTGAAATAGCTTAACGACTTTTGTTTCCGAATATAGCTTAAATCGTAATCATTAGGGGGTTAAATTTAAAGATCGTAAGCGGACCGTTATGCTTTAAAGAAAAGAAAAATGTTGTCACGGAAATCGGATCGTGAAATTTGATTTATTTTATATACGTACGTACGATTTTTGAAGTTTTTTTTTGTCCGCTTTTTTTTTATAGTTAAGTTAGGATTTAGGGTTAGAGTTATTAATAAAAGAGTATAGGCGGATTTTGGTAGGGGTTTATATTTTCAATTATGTACAAATAAAGCAATAACTTTTATTACAAAAACTTTTATTACAAAAATTTCGTAGCAGGTTTAAAACAGGGACGCATGGTTCTCTAGACGTTTTGGATTTTAGTTGGAACTCGCTTCAAACCAAATTTATATCATTTGCATATGCATCGAACTCTGATCATAATACAAAATTAGATATCCTGGTGCAATTAAATTAAAGGTAGGCGATTCCATGTTTTTACAAAGTTGGTAAATAATTAGTTGTCTGAATTAAGCTTCAAAGCACAAAAGTCTTTCAGTTTTTAGTAATATATATTACGAATTGGGTAGGTATGTAAAGAAAAAAAATGTGTACATATACTTGATGTTTAATATTATAACTCCTTTGAATTATATTTTTTTCA